CGGCAAAGGATACTATCAACAGAAGAAAAAGGCATCCTACAGTACGGGAGAATATATTTGTAAATGACATATCTGACAAGGAGTTAACATCCAAAATATATAAAGAACTTACACACCTCAACACCCAAAAAGCAAATAAGCTGATTAACAAATGGGCAGAGGATATGAAGAGACAGTTCTCCAAAGAAGAAATTCGGATGGCCAACAGACACATGAAAAGATGCTCTACATCACTAATCATCAGAGAAATGCCAATTAAAACCACAATGAGACATTACCTCACACCAGTAAGGATGGCCAGCATCGAAAAGACTAAGAACAACACTGCTGGTGGGAATGTAAGCTAGTTCAGCCATTGTGGAAAGCAATATGGAGGTTCCTTAAAAAACTAACAATAGAAATACCATTTGATCCGGGAATCCCACTCCTTGGAATTCACTCAAAGAATACAACTTCTCAGATTCAAAGACATATGCACCCCTATGTTTATCGCAGCAGTTTTTACAATAGCCAAGATATGGCAGCAACCTAAGTGTCCCATCAGTAGATGAATGGATAAAGAAGAGGTGGTACATATACACAATGGAATACTCTTCAGCCATAAGAAAGAAACAAAGCCTACCATTTGCAACAACATGGATGGAGCTGGAGGATATTATGCTCAGTGAAATAAGCCAGATGGAGAAAGACAAGTGCCAAATGATTTCCCTCATTTGTGGAGTGTAACAACGAAGCAATACTGAAGGAGCAAAATAGCAGCAGACTCAGAGACTCCAAGAAGGAACTAGTGTTTACCAAAGGGGAGGGGTGTGGGAAGGTGATTGGGGAGGAAGGGATAAGGGAATTGAGAGGTATTATGTTTAGTACACATGGTGTGGGGGATCACAGGGAAAACAGTGTTGCACAGAGAAGGCACATAGTGGATCTGTGGCATCTTACTACACTGATGGACAGTGACTGCATTTGGGTATGGGTGGGGACTTGACAATATGGGTAAATGTAGTAACCACATTGTTTTTTCTTGTGAAACCTTCATAAGAGTGTATATCAATAATATCTTAATTAAAAAAAAAATGAAGGCAGTAGCTGTTCCAGGAGAGAAGGAATCAGTAATCAATTGGTATGGATCTGGAAAGAAAGGGACAATGTGAAATTTTATTTCCCTCTCTTGCTTTAGGAGGTAATCTTTTTATAGAAACATTTGAATATATTGACCTTAAATACAAGATCCTCCGGATTTAAGAAATTCATTAACTGTGGCCCTTTGACCAAGGAGTGAAGATACCTGAAGACTATCTCATGTAGCCTGGATGGCCTTTACCTTAAAAGTAACTCTCTTAATAGTCTCTTTAGAGTGGCAAGGTAATTCAAACAGAGGATTACTAGAATGAGTACCCAAATAAAGGACAACAGGTGGGGGAGCAGTAGGAGTTACGTTTGAAAGGAAGGAGCGACACACAGGAGCAATTCACTGGAGAATTCTGCTTTATTAGGGGAAGGTGCTGGGTTATATAGGAAGGGGCATGGGGTGATTGTGGTGTTACTTCTACGGGGCTGGTGGCTATTGGCTAAGTGCTGGGATTGGGAGTGGGGAGAGAGTTGATTGGGCTTCAGGGGGCGCTGGCGGGAACCGAGGACCCGGAAGAGAAGCAGGAAGTTCGCCATCTTATGGGTGGGGGCCCTTCAACGTTAGTCTTACAAGTCAGTCTTACAGTCTTTTGTTTTAGGTATCTTACATCTTTAATTTTTCATTAGCATTTTGGAATGAATCTTTCAATGGGAGTGTTTTGTAGTTATGGATCCTGGAGGTTTTCGCATTCCAATTAAAATAGGTATCCCATTTTGTTTAATTCAGGAGCCTATGCTTTCAAATGCACTGATTAAATGATCTTATCTATTCAAATGCTCCTTGTAAAGGTCACTGTAATTCTAGGTTGTTTTCAGTAAAATTTTCCCATCTTGCAAAATATCTGAAACTCCACAACTATAGTTCTTATACATAAAGTAAGCAGATATGCTGGAAGGTAGTGCTCTCAGCTCTTTGGAAAAGTATCCTGTTTCTTTAGTTAGGCCTTTGAGTTTCTCAGAGCCAAACTAATAGCTAAGCCCTTTGGCTTCTGAAATTCGTGTTTAGTAACAGCCTTTACATCATGTTTACATTAACAAAAAACAACTGTAGCCAAGGAAATGGAACTGTGGACACCAGCAGTAACCAACTAGGGACTCGGGCAGGACTGAACCAGCAGGCTTCCAAGAATGACTGAAGCCTGATTGCAAACAAATGGGGAATTGCAGAATAAACTATCAGCAGTTCCCAATGTGGAATCCAGGGGGAAAAGAATGGGCCGGGGTTTCTATGTTACTGTGAACTGGCCGACAGAAGGCCCTGTGTGCACTTCCAGCAATTACTAACATGGACTAAACCAACAGACCCCATTATTGGAGACTGTGGACTGGAACTGAGGAAGGGATTCCAGCGTGGGATTGTGGACTGAACCAAGGGCTAAGTAAGGACTGGCACTCTGTTGGAGCCTGCTATCAGGTCTATCTAGACTAACTTGTTAAACCCAGACTGGAAAGCCAATTAGATTGGGAACTTAATGCAAAGAGAATGGAGTTGAACGGAGAAGAACTCAACAACAGCCCTTGGAACCGGGCAAGAAAGACAATGAACTCAGGAAGGTTTTCAGGGTGCCACACTGTGTTTCTCGCTGTCCCTGAATCCCACAGGTTCACTTTGGATCCTGTCATTGCCACCAAATCTGTTAGAAAACAAAATTCAGCCTAGTAAATTTGAAGATTTAATTGGCTTTATTGTATGAATGTATGGTCTATGAATCTAGCAGCATCCTTTGTAGCAAATAGAGAGATGCTCTGAGGAGTCACCCAAAGTGTTTTAAGGGAAGAGAATGGGACACAAAGTCATTAACAGAAGAAAAGAAGGAATTGTTTCAGGCAAGGTCACCTTCCCTAAGGAAGAAGAGCAGGGGGTTGGTCTCATGGAAATCATCTTTTGGGGGGGAGTGGAGAGGTATCATGTGACAGGTTACCTCTGTGCTAACGAGAAAATTCCTGACTAACTACATTTCTGGGGGTGACTGAAACAACAATTAGATATTAAGCACCGGTTTGGTGATTTGGCTTAGCAAAAGTACCCCTATTTTGGGTCTGTGGGTTTTTTTTAACATGTCTGTGTGTCTTCTAACTCCTTTTCCCAGGAGCGAGGTAGCTATAGTAAGTCTTACCTTTCCTTTGATGCTTACTTCCTGCAAATAAATGGCTTGTCTGTGCGATTACTCATTGCCCTCTTCTTCCTCTGCATTTTAGAACCCCCAGGGAAGCACCACCTGCTATCTTGTTCACTTCGTTCCTGCTGTTGCAAAGAAGGGATTCTGGGTTTGCACCTCATTATGTGCTTTAGCTTAAAGAAATGGGGTTTTCTAGCCCTTTCTGAGAATTGCAGCCTCCTGCATCCTCTCCCCCTCCTCCTTGATTTACTTTGTAACTTACCTTGTGCTTCAGGTTTCAGCTGTCTCTTAGTTTTATCCAAGCTTCATTTTGTTTTTGTTGCTCATTTTCTTTGCTCCTCTGTGGTGGTTTCTGAAAGGAAAAGGGTGAAATGCTGACTTTGAGCCCCAAGATTCTTTCTAACCTCTCTGTATATATGTGCTGTCTGTTGAAAATAACAGTTTTTATTTAGAATACTAAGAACACATCTTTCTTGATGTTTTGGAACTAGGTGTTCTTTATTCTTCCTCCACTTTCCAAAACATATGTGTGATGTTTATGATTGGGCAAGAAAATAAAGAGACTCCTAAACTCTAAGCCACTAATTCACTCTCATCCCCTCATCCTGCCCTAAATCTTGAATAGGTGCTTTGCAGAGTTAGGGCTGGGTAAGAAAGGGAGGAGAGAGGGTGGCATAGTATAGATTGATGTGACCTACAGGGAGCAAAGACCTGAGTGTTAGTGTCAAGAGTTGTTGGCAACACAAGTAAGAGAGTGGGAATAAATACAAGGGGAATATAATAAAGCAGCCAGGCAGGGAAGTGCTTTGAAGAGATGACACTGAGTTGAGAAATAAGGGTGTGATTTCCCTGGCTGCTAATTTTTAGGAAATGTCATTCCCACGTACTATATTGACCTTAGTTTGGAAGTAAAATTCAGTTTTTTTAAATCAGTATACTCGATTCAGTGCTTACAGAAACCTTTTTTCCTGGATTTGTAATTATTGAGCAGAAATAGAATCAATGACTGAATCAGAGTGAGATACCTTTTAACATGTTCATTCTGTAATATGTATTTTGTCTAAGCTTTAGATTTATTTTTTATGTTCAGTTTTTATTATAGGTTAATTATAAAGTGTTCTTTTAAGAACTCATACAATTTTTAAAATGTAACTTCCTAAAACATACAATTTAAAAGCAATGTCATTTAAGAGTTTTATGATAAAGTTTAAAATTCAAGTATTTTCTCACTATGGTCTCCAAGGCCCTGCATGACAGGACACTTAACCAACTCTCTGAATTTGACTTATTATACCCTCCTTGTCCTTGCTCACTTGGCTGAGGTACGCTGGCCACCTTTTTGTTCTCCAGACCTTCTGTGACAGTTCCTGTTCAGGACTTTAGCCCTTGTTCCCTCTGCCTGACATGTGGGCTCTTTACATTGATGATTCTTCTTCTTTAGTTCTCAACTTGTGTCACTTCTTCAGAGAGCCTCTCTTGCCAGCTGCTTTAGTATATTCCCCTTTAATTTCCTCTGTAGAATTTACCCAAATCTGAAATAATCTATTTTATTCATTAGCTTACTTGAGAGTATAAAAATGTAAGCCTCGTGAAAGCTGAGAGGCCTAGACAATCTTGTTTACCACTTTAACTGTGGTACCCAGAGTGCAGGGTCTAACACAAGTAGGTGTTTAGTACTTTTGAATGCATGAATGAAAGACTGACCAAATTTAATGGGCTAATTCCATGCCTCTTGATATGTTTGTACACTAGAGCTTCCTCTAATTGACAGCCTGATTCGTGTTTTACAAAATGTGGAGCATTGTCAGAAGAAACCAGAGAACTCAATGGACTCTAACACAGAAGAAACTAAAAAGTCTGATTTAACCCCAGAGGATTTCCACTTGAAAATCTTAAAGGATATTTCATGTGAATTTCTTTCTAATCTTTTTCAGATATTAACAAAGGTAGGAAAGAAGTGTTGATGGTTTGTTTCTTCAGCAAAAGAAACTACAGTTGCCTGCTTAATGCTCCGAATTTTATTACTATTATTTTCTAAAATATAAAAGCAGTATAATTGTATAACATAAATTTGGGAAAATAGAGAAAGAAAAACTTACCATAAATTTACGATTTTAAACTAGCAACTAATGTGGTTTGGTATGTTTTTATTATACATGTTTTTCACATACTTACAACCCAGGGCATATAATTTTTATAGACTGCCCTTTTCACTTAATATTATAAGCACTTTTTCTGACTCTAAATTTACTGACTTTCCACTAAGAGCCAATTTGTTTAATATCCAATTTGAAAAAAAACCCAGTTTTCAAAATTTACTGCAAATTTGTTTAAGGGACTTCGTTGTTCAGGATTATTAACATATTCCTCCCTTAAACATACTTTCAATCCCAGTATTTTAGAAAAAATATATCAGTATATCTATGAAGCATGTATTCATAGTCACTGAAGCTTTTAAGACTATTCCTTAAAACAAATATGTTATTCTGACTGTTTTTTTGGTGAATTTTCCTCCTTTTCAGACTTGGGTTTATTAGCATAGATTTTCAGATGTTAGATTATGAGTTTTGACATTGTAAAAGTGAAGATAACTAAGGTATAATGGATACTTATTACCAGAGTGTTTTTATTAACAATGTAAAAAAGTTAGTTTTATATGATTCTTATTATTGGGCATTACAATTTTTATACATCAAGTACAGTTCAACACATGATAAATTGTGCCTTATTTTGATTTTTTTACCAGTAGTGAGGTTGAAAATCTTTTTATGTATTTGTGTATTATTTGTGCTTCCTGCTTTATAAGTTACCTATTTTGATTATTTGTATGAACTCCTTGGATAATAATATACCTTCTGCATATTCATTGCAAGTATTTTTTTCCATTGTTTGCTGCTGATGCTTTTCCTTTTTTGGGGAGGAGGGACAAAGATTTTTCTTTATTTTTAAGTGACAGGAATATAGGAGGAAGCTAGGCTGAGAATAAACAGGGTTATGCCATAACAATTCTTCTATACCATAAGTAATGGAATATGGATTTAGTCTTGATGAAACTGAGGAGCTAGTAAGATGGGTTTTTTTAAGCATTGTCATATGATTAGAAAGATCACTCCAAAATCAGTATTGAGAGAGGATTAGAGAGTTGACGCTGGAAGCGCAGAGGCCCAGAGACCAGCAGACTCTAGTGCTTAGTAATAGTTAAGAACAATCTGAAAAATAAGGAGAGCCTAAACAATGAAAGTGTGGATAGAGAGGCGGGATGGGATGAGAGAGATGTAGTGGAGTAGAATTAAACATTTTGGGGGAATGTTCAGCAGCAGAGAAGGAGGAAGAATCTTGGCTGTATCCCCATCTTTGGTTTCCGCAGCAGGGCGGGTGGGTCGCGGTGCCTTTCCCTAAAGGAAGGACTGCAGCGGAGCACACGTTTGTGTTAGCAAAAGAGGAATGATAGTGGGTTTGGTCTGGGACATTGAAATGCCAGTGGGATCAGTAGGGAATTGTGTCTACTGGTTTGTATTTATCAGATATAACTAGGCATTTTCCTTTTCTGACATTAAATCTTTTTGTTTGTTTTAGGAGACTGTAGCTCAGGGACTAAAGGCGGGGCATTTAAGCAAACCGAAGTGTTCCTGTGTATTTCAAAACCTCCTTCCTTTCTATAGCCCTGCAGTGAGTATGCATACAGGGGGCTGAGTTTCTGAGGATTACTATGTAAAATGTTTTTAAATAAGCGCTTGATCTCTGAGACCATTGTCACAGAAGAGTGCATACAGTTCACGGGATTGACTGCCTTTGTCGGAGAGATGACTGCCTGCTGGGTAATGGATGGGACTAGCCTGAGTAACAGGTCTCATGCTGAGAGAAAGGAGTTAGCATTGAATTTATCAGACCCCTTTCTGTTAATGAAGTAGACAGCGTCGATATTAAGCAAAAATAAGATTTTTGGATAGGAATTGTCAGGAGGTTTTTATTGTTCTTCAGATTTTATCACATTTGCTACCATTAGAGGCAATTTCAAAATAGGAACTTTTTAGGAAAATGAAGTATGTAGTGTGGGAGTGAGGAAGCACGTCGTAAGGAGGGTGGTAATAAAATGCCAGTAAGGATCCTAAAGGGAAAGCAGCGGGGGAGTAAATACTAGTTGAAGAGTGAAGCAAAATAGTGATGATGTTTTAGAGGACTTGATGTTTTAGAGTGCTCTATGGGAAGGACTGCTGCTGTCATCTTGGGATCTGTGGGCAGTTCTTTTCCATTGGACTGTTTAGAAACCACAGGTGGAGCCTTTTTATAGTCAACAATCAATATCTTAAACCACCTTTTCCTCTACTTACATTTTTTTGGTTCTTTTGTTTCATTTATAGGTGGAAGACTTTCTCAAAATCCTACAGGAAGTTGATAAGACCCTTGCTGATGACCTGGAAGAAAGCTTCCCAAGTTTGAAGGTTCAGACTTAAAAACTGAATTGGAATTTCTTCTGCCCAAGAGATAAACTTTATTTTCTTCACTGACAGTTGAAATTCACATACAGGAAATATTATATAAGCTTATATTAGACCATAATTGTCTTCGTATTACTCGCTTACTCTTTTCCCACCCCAGCCTTTTATTTGGCATTGAAGTGAGACTTTTTACCACCATCAAACCCCACCCTCCTTATTTTTTATTGGTTATGTGATGTTTGTCATCTTCAGGTAAAGAAAACAAAAACACAAGTGTATCCTTGAGGTCCTTTTTAGGATATTTGAGGGTTTGGCAAGGATTTTCTTCATAACTCTTTTTTTTTTTTTTAAGAGAAAAACGTTGGGTTCATAACTCTTAATTGGACTTTTATGTGAGAATTTTGTATTTGTAACTACTACAAATGCATTCAGCTGCACTAATAGAAAACCGAGCTGCAGCAGTTTAACCCACTAGATTTCTTAGGTAATAAGAAATCAAGAGGTGGGCAGTCCAGTCCTGATCTGGTGGCTCAGGGATCCCTGACTCCTTTCCCTTCTCTGTGTGGTCCGCTGTGGAGACCTTGTGCTCATGTTTATTGTCTTGTGGTTAAGGAGGCTGTATCATCTATGGATTTTGCTTCCACATTCAGGGAGGAAAAGGAGAAAGAGGCAAATGGACTTTCTTCTTGAAAGTCTTTACCTTTTTATTGGGAAAGGACAGCCCTCCCATGCCAGAACATGTCACGTAGCTATCCAGGACTACTACTATTTGAAATCAAGAACTTTTTTCTTTCTAGTCTGTGTAGGAGAGAAAGCAAGAGAGAAGGGAGCTATGAAGGCTTATTAGATAGCCAATCCATGATGTTTGTCATAGTATACAAATATATCTTAGCTGTTTAGTGAATGTTAATTGTGTTGATTCTGTTCCAGATTGTTAACAACTCAAAAGCAGTTATTAGTTTAGCTTTGTTACAGTTCAGTTTTTTTCAGTGTATGTTTGCAGATAGAAATGCTAACATTTTGATGAAAGTGCATTAGCAAAATTCTCTATTTTTAGCCTAATCCCAGTGGTTCAACTTCAGAAAATGATTTCCTTGAGTGAATTCAGATTGAGGGAATTTAATAACTTCTGATTATTTACAAAGTTTGCTATACATGATTTTTCCTCTCATATTTTTATCATTCTTTATAGTGTTTCCCAATGAAGTATATTCAGAGAATCAACCAGGTGCATTTCTGGAAGCTTTAACAACTCAAAAGCAGTTATTAGTTTAGCTTTGTTACAGTTCAGTTTTTTTCAGTGTATGTTTGCAGATAGAAATGCTAACATTTTGATGAAAGTGCATTAGCAAAATTCTCTATTTTTAGCCTAATCCCAGTGGTTCAACTTCAGAAAATGATTTCCTTGAGTGAATTCAGATTGAGGGAATTTAATAACTTCTGATTATTTACAAAGTTTGCTATACATGATTTTTCCTCTCATATTTTTATCATTCTTTATAGTGTTTCCCAATGAAGTATATTCAGAGAATCAACCAGGTGCATTTCTGGAAGCGTCTGGTTTGCATTATTTCAGATGCTGAAAGTGGAATTGTCAGTAGATTTAAAAAAAATACCAGCTTTAAGTAACAAAGCCAGCTTTTTAAACAGCTTTTCTGGTACAGACCCTTCTCATTTTATTGCAGGATCTTTGGCTTGAAAGCACTGGTCTTGCCTTACATTTGGTATTCTTTACTTGAATGACTTTTGCTGATAAAAAATCATAGCATTATTTTGCATAGCATTATTGGGAAGAGATATACAGTTTCCAGTTTGGAGGTAGTTTTATTGTTGAAAATGTCCCTGCTAAGAAGAATTAAATTGTATAATTAAAATCTTATCATTGAAACTCCAGTCGGTAGGTTTACTTTATATATATTTGCATGTCTTCAGTGCTGACCTTATCTACAGGCTGAACATGACTGTTTGTAACATGAGATTTCAAAAGCTCTGATGAAATCACCCCTACCTGCTAGCCAGTGCTGAAAATGCCATTCTCACTGTCTCTTGAAGTTTAAGGTTAAGATGCTAATAACCCTATAAGAATAGTACTCCATGTTATTAGTCATGTGTTCCTCATTGCATATGACTTTCACATTTTGTTTTCCTGAGAACACATTTTGAAGGGGGCAGCCTAAGGAGCTTAGCTATCTCTGTGAAAGAGTGCTACTCAAAGCCCATAAGTTACAAAGGGAGAGAAAAGATGTATTGTAGGAAGGCTAGAGATGTCTAAGTTATTTTCTGCTTCTCATTTCTGCCTTGAACCTGCCTTGTTTACTTGCTACTGTCATAACATTATGAGGTGGTACATATTTTCATAGTTTTGATATGTTTGAAAAATTCCTAAATCTATAAATTATAATAAATTTAAAAAATATATAAGCAGTGTTAAAACTTTTTTAATGCCACATAATCTGATGAATTCACCAAAAAAAAATAATGCTTGTTTTAATTACAGTGATATTTTGAAGTGGTGCTTTCTCAAGAAGCATAAATATGAGATTTGGACTTATATGTACAAATGGAATTGAAACTCATTCTTTCTCCTTACTTCATTGCAGAGAAGTTGCAGGAAGAACTTAAGTTAGTACTTGTTAAACAGGTCATTCTATTTCTAATTAGATTTGAGGTTTTTATTTTTTTTTGATGTATCTAAATAACTTAAGATAGAACATAGATGACATACCTTTAAGATGTTATCCCCTTGCAGTTAATGAGATATAGCCAAATTGTTTTCTTGGCTGATCCAACTTTTTAGATCAAAAGACTTTTTCTACTCAATCTTCAACATTTCCCATTGCCTTGGCTTTGAATTAGTTACCCTGAGTAACTGGCATATAAATGCAAAAAAGTTTAAAAACCACCTCTCAGCATATATACTTTTTCTAATGAGGCATCTGCAGAAACCAACCATATTAATTGAGGTATTAAGAAATAATCTCTATTTGGAATTCAGAAAATCTTAAATGCATGAAATGTTGAGCACTGTTTTCTATTCTGCAGGATTGGGCTGCAGAATAGTGATGCTGTTTCTGAGAGTTAACTGAATTTGAGTAAATTGAAGAAAAGGTATATTGGGGTTATAGATTATCTTGCCTGTTTTAACTAGTATTTTTTTAAATTAATTAATAGCCTATTTTTTAAAGAAATAGGTCCATATTAATTTAGGACAGAACTATGTATTCTACTTGAGCTCCTACTCCCTTTTAGTACTTTGCAATTCTGTTCTCCTCTGTGATCCTGGCAAAAGCTTTAAGAAAGAGAAAAATAAGTAAATACCCCTCTTGAATTAGT